AGTTATAAGTTATATCTAAGTAAGAGTCTCTAGTTTAGAATTTAGGATTGCCTTCGACTGTTCTAGTTAAACAGTTCAACTGAAACATCATTAGTTTAACTTTTTTATTTTCTTTAGTCCAACTGTTTTTAATGTTCTTTTTTTTCTGCATTTTTTATTTTATTTTATTTTTTTCCTACTTGCTTTGATTCTGTTTTATTTTCCTATATTTTAATCACGTAAAGCACTTTGCATTGTCTTTCTACTGAATTGTGCTATACAAATAAATTTGCCTTGCCTTGTCTTGCCTAGTTAGGAAATTGTAAAGATTTAACTATGAGAAAAAAGCAAGAAAAAGTAAAAAATCTTTGTGGGGAGAAATACTTTTCACTGCATATGGCCTATGACATTGACATCCGATACTCTACCAACACTCTGGATAAAATGCCTCAAGGGACGCAGTTATAAGCCTTCTACTGTACAGAACCACAAAATACATGTGGACTTGTCTATCATGCTTAGCGACTCTCCAAGGGTAAAGGATGCATCTATGCACAGCTGTCGAGTTAAAGCAATGCTGCGCCTCCAGTCTGTTTGATAAATGGCTGAAGCTCTTCGTTCAACAATAGCACCTAGGTCTTTACTCCACAGTGGATGTCCAGGTTTCATCTGTCAACTTGGAGATGTCTGTGTGTAATAAACTATTTATTTATGTCACATCTACTATAAGGGAATATTGGAGAACATATTTATATAAATTGACTTTATAACAAATTCAATTAATGAAAAAAATATTGGATTAATGTCATCTCATGTTTTTTTTATTATCCTAAATTAAATTAAATAAAGACCTCAAATCAAGGAAACTCAGACCAACTTGGCCTCACCTGGTTCCTGTGTCTCTGTTAGTCGTTGAATGTCTGCCAGTTATAGTATTAGCTAATTGCATAACTGGGCGTTTTCTTCCCGTCTTTTATCTTCTCTCAGCTGCTTAGCGCCCAATAGAGCAGCGGATGATGGAGGCTCCAACACGGCATGATCTAAAAACCCACTGGCGCTTCAGTGTGCCTCAGCTGGCTTATATAACCCAGCGTGGATATGCAAACTGCCTAGCTGCTTGGGGAGCTGAGCGCACTCGCCACACACAGCAGCTGTGTGTTGGGATGCATTCGCCAGTGTGTGGATGTTGGCATGAGGACGGCACATCAGCGTTTGCTTGGGTAGCTGAATTAAGTCAGGATTTGTGTGTTTTTCTGCTCGGCAACCGCATCATCAAAAATCTCTCTCCTCCTCGTCACGCTTTCTGATGATGTCAGCAGCGTGGCTGCTTGATTTTGGGGCCAGCGAGCTCCTCGGTGATGTCATTTCCGGCGGGTCTTCACCTGAAGTGACATTTTTATGTTGTGTAACTCGAGCATTTTGCCTGTATTTTGGAGCAGATTTTCTCTCTCCACCCAGACGCTGCATGCAACTCCTCATTATAGAAATACCAGGTGGGTCAGTGAGAGCACTGTTTGCAGATGTAACCAGACAAGATGCACCATCCTCCTGTGACCTCATGGTGCACCCGAGGAAAAAGAAGACTTCTGAACCAGTACACTGTGATGCATCACAGCAGCGATGACTGTAAGCACGGTACGACTTCTGACATGCAGTAGTACGGGTGTGAGTGTGAAGGAATGCAGAGAAAGACAGCAATCAAGAGAGGCCTGACCTATATAAGAACGAGGCTGAAATATTTATGGATGTGAGTGTCCTAATTGGCAAGCCGCTGGGAGGAGTGCGGCCTTTTCCAATTGCAGCATGCGTAGAGGTTGACATGCACTCAAAGAACACACGCACCCAGACGAGCAGCAGGGGTCTGAGGGCTTGACGGTTGCCTCATTATGACTCCGATCTTCTATCACCAAAGCTCTGGCATAGTTAGAACCATTACCAGAGCTGTTATCATAACCCTTCTCCATTGCACAGACGGACTGGAACAAACGCTCAGAGCGCTGAGTGAAACGCAGCCTAATTGGCTGGGTTTATCTCCAGCACTGGCACGCACGGCTCAGCCCTCAGAGAGGCCTCCACGGCTGTCCCCTGCAGTTGGAGATGATCAGACTGACTCGTTCTGATCACTGAATGCTGCAGCAGCGAGGGGTAGACAGAGGTCTGCAGCGACTTCAGACATTATCGAGTAACGTGACAAGAGTAATATCTAAAGATGAAAATACTCTCAGGATGCAAGATTTTTGTTTCCCTTTAAATAAAGTTGAATCAACAAGCTTAAGTTTCATTATGCTAATGAACGCTTACATCCTAAAAAGGAATAAAATGCCTGAAGGGAAAAAATTCCATAAAAAGTGAGCAATGCACATATTTCACTGATCTGCTCAGCAGATCAAACCAGCGGATTTCAGGTAGAGCAGCCTGTATGATAGTCAAATTTCTTTATTCCCCGTAGAATTAACCAGCACTTTTTATGTTTTTTTTATTTTTTTTATTATATTAAAGCAAAAACTGACCTTAAATCATCAGTGAGTGAAGAATGAGTCACTATATCTGCTTTTCTAGTAAATGCATTTACAAGGCTTTGTGTACATCTGGATCTAATAGTAAATCAGTTTTAGTAAAAATGTTCTGTGTCAAACAAATACAACAGTTTTTACAGACAGGGCTGCAGAAACATCTCAAGTTTGACTCTAGTGGGCATTGATGAGTGGATTTAACTTTCCAGAGAACTTTTAACTAAATTGTCCTTGCTCTTGAAAGATGTAATTAAACTCTTTAGTGTGAATAAACAAAGTAATAAAACTTTCATGCAAAATTTTGTGTTTCATGAAAATTTTTTTGTATAAACGGGATAAAGCGAGGAAAAAGCCTAGAGACTGCTGCATTAGTCTGTGTGCAGGTGTGGTTCAGGCTGTAATGCACACCTGCATTAGTGTGCATTACCCATTGTTGATATATTGATAGTTTGAATTTAAGTCACCTTTCTTTAACACTTAGTTATACAATCTGCTGGTCAGGAACCAAGCTAATAAATGTATGAATGCGGCAGAGTTTTTACTTTGCAGAGCCTGCTGAAGGCAGGGAATGGGTTAACAGAAAAATCAGTTAAAAACATAGAGGAAACATTTAGATTTATACATTCTCTTGTTCCTAAGCCTTCTCTTTAACTGTTGTTAAGTAGAATTAATAAAGCAGAGAAACAAAGATGAATTCATAGTTCACTGAGGCTTACTTGCTTCAGTTATCATCACTGTCCAAAATTCAACAATGGTTTGTAAAAAATGGAAATCATGCTTTTTCTCCAAAGCTAAGGCTACTTTTGATTAAAATATCTGTCTTATATTGACCGAAAAAATCTTGATCATCGGCTGAAATTTTTAGACTGACAAAACAAAAAGAAACAATCTTGAAGGTAAAGGTCTCATTACAACTGATGCAAAAGGAGTACAAGGTCAGTCCAGGTCTGCTTTGATGCTGCAAGACCTGGACGAACTGCTTTAATTGCCAGAACCATAAATTCTGCTCTCTAGTGGAAACTCCTGAGGGAGAATTTATAAAATTTAAACCCAAGAATATTTGAATTAAACAGGAAGGAACTGATCCAAACCGCAATGGCAAAGACACCTCTAAAAGGTTAAAATAATATAATGAAGGTTTTGAAGTGGTCCAGTCAATGTATGGATTCAGATCCATCCATGATAAGGCTTAACACTAAACACACCATTAATTCTAGAAAACCATTGAATAAAGCTAAAATAAAAACAGAAATGAGAAAAACGCAATAGGTTATATGGTAGTCGTTCTCACCAAGGATGGCACAAACCATTTAGCAGCTTTATCAATCAATCAATTGATCCATAAATTGATTTATACAGAACGATACACAATAACAATGTCAGTGACCAAACTTCTTCACAAAATCAGTTTACACAAATGTTACAGCAGCTTAAATGCAAGAAAGAAAAAAAAAAAAAAAAAAACCCCAGATATGTCACCACATATTTTAGAGTTAAAAAAAGCCTTTTGGAGTAAAAAAAGTCTTGAGATTTGATTTAAAGGGTGATTAAATGTTTAAAAGGGGTCAGATTTGAAGAAAAAAAATAAATAAAATGAAAGCGTTGTAATTTGCAAGTGGGGACAAAAACTTCAGCACAAATGATACTAACTGGGTCAATCTGAGTCATTCAAGCTGTAGGATCTGTGGATCTTTGCAAGACTCAGCCACTGATCTATACAAATACCTAAAATATTTAAATTAGTCTACGATAAACTTTATGCTAAACAGTTTAAATAAGAGAATAATAAATGTCTAAATTGTAAATCACTTTACTGTCCCGCAATGGATCTCTTGGGGAGCAGTGGGCTGCCATTGTGTGGCGCCCAGGTAGCAAGTCTGGGGATCAAACCAGGCACTTGCACTTTCTCAGACCACAAGCAGACTGCTCTAACCCACTTGGCTAACTCCCAGAATTATAAAACATATTAGCTATGAGATGGCGCTGAACAATTTTACAGGAAGAAAATATGGATTCAGAAACATTCTTTCCTTCTTGCTGATATTTCCAAATACAGTCTGCCTCTAAAGAAATCTAATTCAAAATAGAAGAAGCTTTAAAAGACAAAACTACATTTAATCCTACTACAATAGCTTTAGTACTTCATGAGCTGAAAGTAACTGCTGTTATTTTTAGGATTTGTAAAACAAATGACTCCGACAAGCATCTCTTTCTTGCTTGCACAAAGAAAACGGGAGCAGAAATCGATGGGCTGTGTTTACAGGGTACACAGCTGACTGTAACTCTGCACGTTATGTTACACACAGCCGAGCAGTAAAAACAGATGAGCCGCTTGGCAAGGCTCGGTCTGGCCGGCACCGCACTAAAAGCAGGCAGAGACAGAACTGACACATGGGCAAAGAGCTGCAGCTATACTGGCAACAAGCGGCTGTCTGAGCGAAAAACAAACAAGAAAAGTGGGACAAACATCGAGGAGGATGGAGGAGGAAAAAAGAAACTGCTACTCACGTAAGAAGTACTCAGATGGGTCTGCTTCGTAATCAGTTTCCTCCGGAAAGTGGTCTATTTGTTTACACATCCCTTTAAAGTTCCCTGGAGAGAAAAAGAAAAGTTCAAGAAGGTTAGGAAAATGGTCAAGTTTATTTTTAAAGATGGAACAACAAACAGAGGAAGGCTATTCAATGTAGATATCCAATTCAAATCTGCCAAAACAGGATTCATATGGATGTAATTCACAGTTTCCCACAATATTTATCTCCTATAACTGTAAAAAATTGACTCTATTGTAGATTACTGCTTACAAGCTGATTTAGTCCAACTATTTGGGCAATTGTTAGCAATTTCTGTAACAGAGATTGAATGAGAGCAGCTAATATCAGAGGCTCTGTTCAGCATGAGGACCTGCAGCAGTTGGAGGCCTGTAAACAAGAGCGGAGCAGCTGGTGCGACCTGGAGCCTCTCCAGCTGCTGTGCACAGGGAGCCTCATCTCTTAACGCCTCTCTGTCCAGAAACAAAACCCCCCTCCCGGTGTCCCCTCTGTCTGCTCCCTCCTGTTTGTGTATGTAGTGGGGGGGTATCCCTAAGGTGGCCATCATGGCGACCTGGTGCTTCAATGGTGGGAGGCAGGCAGATGACGGAGCGTTTGATTGGACCAGATTAGTGTTTCATTAACTTCTTCCTCTCCTCTCCCACCGCTGTCCCTCTAATTAGGGGAACAGGTGCTGGTTGCCATGGCGCCAGGTGTTGTGGGGTATTTTTTGGCAGCGGGCATCATGAGCACAGAGGGGTGCACTTTTTACTTTAGTAACCCACAATCAGCCAAAGGGGCGGGGCTCTAATGACAACAAGAGAACGAAGAGAAAGGTCCGAAATATTTTAAACCATTAATTTTTGAAACCAAGTTTGATGAAAACCTAAGCTGTAAAATGTTAAAATATAAATAACCCAGTAGTATGAATATTTAGGGGCTTAGCTTTACAGGGTTTTGTGTTTGATGTCTTCTGTCATCTTCTGTAATGATGCAGGATTTTAGCCTTTAAAATCAGAAGCTGTGGAAAATAATATTTCTATCTAGTACAGATGGTAGGTCTGTAGTGTGTTCAACAACTCGAGCTTTAAAATGGAGTAGAGCTGGTTTATTTTTCCCTCTTGAGTACCTATTAACATTTTCTCCCTTGTGTACATATTTTAATTTTAAAATACTCCGCAGAGTAGTGAAACTTTGATGACATGCCATCAGAAGTACAAATATATTTACAGTATACATCTAATAGAGAATAGAGAGTAAAATGCACTAAATAACTCTAAATGACCCCTCTAATTAAGAGTAAGGCAAAAACTCAAGTCATGATATTTCGGTTGACAAGACAAAGTATTGATAAAAAATAAAATAAAGGCCTCAGAAAGAGAAAAAATGCCAATAAATGCCCATGCTGCCACGTTTATTAAACTCCTAAAATATGAATCTCATAAACATTTCCTTTAAAAACAAAATGCATAAAGCTAAAATGTCATATCACTGTAATATCATAAAATTACATTGCGATATATATTGATATTGAGATATTGTCCAGCCCTAAACAGAGAGTGAAATAATTGTGCAATCAGAGGTGACTTTTATATTGGACACAGCGATAATCAACACAATCCTAGACCTGAGAAACAAGTTTCCTTTCTTAACCAATTCAGCACTAAACCCCACAGTAAAAATATGCTGAAAAGAAGTCTGTGCCCTCTTTATAAGTAAAGTAAAATTTGTGCATATGAGAAAAAATATGTTAACCTCTAATTATTCTCTAATTATTAGGATCCTTTTATTGAACAATTTTTACGTAGGTTGTGTATCGTCTCCCCATTCTCCTAGTTCATGGCAATGACTATGAGGCATATGATGAAACCAATATGAATAATTATTCTGCAAGACATTAGTATTAGGGGCAGATCTATATTGCCTTATGCTAGACTAAAAGGTGGGTGCAGAAAAATGTTATAGATTTACTATCATACCTTGTCTGAAACATCCCCAAATTCACAAATTATTTAATTCATTACTTTGGAAGAACAATAACTGGACTATTAAAATACTAAACACTGCTTGTTTACAAATACTACATCACTAGCAATACAAAATGTTCAGTTCACAAAGAAAAAAGAAAGCGAAGAAAAATAAAGGCATTAAACTCATATGCAACAATGCTTAAGGTGAGCGTTAAACAGCTAGTTTAAAAAAATAATCCTGTAGATGGTGCATTTAGTTTCCACAAAAACAGATAAAACAAAACTTTATTTTATAATGCCATTTTTCTAACACTTTTCTCCTTCTATAAATAGAGATGCACTGATCCGATACCTGAATCGGATATCAGGGATTTTAATATCGGATACTGGAGATCTAATCCAGTGAACTTTACATGAAACTAATATTTTTCCTATAAGCAGCAAGCTTATTTGTCAATAAAAGACATAAATTAAACAAGTTTAACAATGTTTATGTCAAGGCTAAAGCGTTAACTCACATGGTACAATGCATTGTTCATTTATTGGGCAGTTGAATCGGATCTGTGTCGGATATCAGCCGATACGGTCAGCCCAGGTATCGGATAGAATAAAAAAAAACTGGATTGGTGCCCCTTTTTCTATAATAGTGTTAAATTTTCTTTTTTTTTTTTTTTGCATCTTTAAAACAATGCTAATGCTTACGTTAACTGCTTGCTAACTAATGTAGTTCCACCAATATTTCCTTATACTTGCTAAAATGTTTATGTATTCACATTTTAACTAACTTAGTCCTTTGGTTCATTAGAAAGCCAACAATGACTTCCATCACACACCTGCAAATTTTATTAAATTTCCTCCTCTACTGAAGTTATGTTGCTGCAATATATCTCTAATTTGGCGGTGACACCATCCACCATCCTCAGCTGTGCTGCTGCCGTCGACACCCGCTCACACTGAGCCTGGTTCTGCTGGAGGTTTCTTCCTGTTAAAAGGGAGTTTTTCCTCTCCACTGTCGCTACAAGGAGTGACAATGAGTCGATGCAGTCAACTGGTTTTCCTTAGATAGAAAACTTGACTGTATGATCTGGTGAACTGTAAAGTGCCTTGAGATGACATGTGTTGTGAATTGGCGCTATAGAAACAAACTGAATTGAATTGAGCTTATGATTTCTCTTAACATTGTTTCTTTAGTTACAAAATAAAATACCAAACATAAAGGTGTTTATACCTCACATAATAATTTATTTACCAAATTGTTACAAATGCCCACCTAGACTTCTTTTTTTTTGTAAACACATTTTTCCCCTAAACAGGCGTGGGAAACTCTGTACCAATATTCCCACTCAGACTCAATCCATTGTACTGTACCACATAGTTTTCCTACTGACTCAGCTTTGGCACATAATCAAAAAACATTGATTTCCTTCTTCAGGTTCTGTGGCAATTAAAACAAGAAAGAGGGTAAAAAAAAAAAAAACGAGGAGTAACAGGGAGTGTGGTCGGGAAAGATAATAGTACGAAGAGCAGGTAACTGCAAAGCTTTGAAGGACAGGGAGCAGAAAGACAGGGAGGGAGGTGGAATACATCAGTTTTAAGTGGTACATTAACTGCTGAGCCGTGAAAAAGCCCTCCAGAGTTTAACAGAGCTGCACACTTTTTGAACTCAACGCTCTGATAGAAGTTGTTCTTTCAGAATGAAGATTAGAGCTGGGTTCTCCATAATCAGCTGGAAGGTGAATCTTACTAAAAATAAAAGCACATAATCCTCAAAAGCTTTGTTCACAAACCGTTGCATACCAGCGTTCAGGAGTGAACTGAAGGGGTTACCCAGCCAAGCCGCCTCCCGCAACCTCTACCTGAGGCTGCTGCTGAAAATAACAATATGTTCATCTGGAGCAAAGTACACAGTTTTGGTTCCTCTCAGAGCATTTTTCTCGGGAAGATGACTTGTGTTTACATACGACTACATTACACAGTCCCACTGGAGCTGTCTAGCAAACTAGCAGCGGCAGCAGCAACCCACAGAGGCACCATGTGTGTGTCCTAATAACGTTATCAAGTGGGTGTAAAATTTGGTTTGCAGCTGGTCGACCCATCAGCAGTTGCGCAATGTGTTATAGCAGCTGTGGAGAGAAGGTTGTGGTTGGTGCAAATCTTCAATTAACGTGTTGAAAGAGTTCTTGTAATACATGCAAACTCAGAAGGCTGCTAAAGGAATTTTTTGGCTGAGATGAATCACTACATGTATGTCAATGTGGGGATATGACATGGAAACCTCTGTCTGGTCATTAAAAGCTCCGGCATGAAAACTGTTACTAATTGCAGAGAGATTTGGTTTGTGATGGACCAAATCACTTACTGTAGGGAAAGAAAACTCTCCAATAGATACTTCAATCAACTCGATCATTTAAAACTAGATGTTTAATGGCTAAATTAAGGAAATGAAAATGTGTAGACAAGTTGGAGACCATGTTCAGCTACATATTGTTCCAGGTAATGAATGTAGAGCTGGTTTATTGAGACCCGGAAATAAATAAGAAACAAAATTTTAAACAAGGTGGAAAATGTATTCATTTCAGAAACAGAAAAAAATATATATCTTAGCTCATTCCATCCACTTTTTCCTCTTTTTCTATTCAGTTTGACATCATAAGCATCCTTCTACAGCTGCACTCTTTTCCACGGGGTAAAAAAAGCATATACTTCCTTAAGCAGTTTCTGGATCTGCTCAGCAGTCACCTGCAACAGAAATATACCCAGAAACCTCCAAAGAGAGACAACCAGGCAGCCATGATCAAATGCTTCCCCTTTGGATTATTACTGCCTCAAGTTTCTGATGAGCTCATTGCAGCTGAGACACCTGCTAATGCATATTCTACACATATTCCACGTTTATTTCGTGCATTCTTTCTGCCTCTAGAGGGATGATTTAGATTTTAGAAATTTCACCTCCATTTGAAAATATGCAAACATGGACCAGCATGAACTTTGAAGTATTTTTTTTATGCTTTTGCTTAAACAGCCTGTGCACCATTACTGTAGTATCATCAATAAATTAATATACATGCTTCAGATTGGAATAAGTTTTTCATTT